CTGGGATTACAGGCGTGTGCCACCATAACCATCTAAAATGGTCCATTTTTAGTTTTCATATTGGTATTTCTCTATATTAAAAAGAAAAAATCCTACTATTTCTCATATTAGAAAAATAGGGAATCATAACTCCCAAGATTCTCTTTCACACATGACCTATCTAGTCATTGTAAGTGAAAGGATAGTAAAAAAAAAAAAAATCACAGATTCTGTCCCTGCTTCCTATTGCCTCCACCCCTCACTTTGGCTCTGTACAAACTGTTGCTCAAACTCCTGGAGGAACAGCTAAACAGACTGGCTTTCCAGGCTTCACAGACAAAAGCAATAAGTATTTCTACACCCAAGTGTGCTAAATAAGGACCTTCAGAAGCAGGCATCCAAAATCTGCCATCTTCAGGGAAAGCCTGCTGGGCAGGTGCCTGACTCAACTCCCACCTCCAGGCCAGGCACCATGTCCATGACCTTTGTAGGTGTGCTGCCACCTGCTGGGCTATGGCCAGTCCCACACCTTCACTTGCCAGGGCAATCCAAGCCTTTCTTTTGGCTCTCCTGACTGAGCTCAGAGACAGGTATGACTCCCTGGACAGGCCTTGAGCCATAAGCAAGCAGATGTGTCTCCCTCCCTGCCTCCCACCTTTCCAATCACCTACCTATGCACACCTGGCCCACCTGCTCACCTATTAGCTCTGTTTTCACGATTAAAAAATAACAATGAAGCCAGGCATGGGGAAGCATGCCTGTAATCCCACGGGCTCAGGAAACTGAGGCTGGAGGATTGTGAGTTCAAAGGCAGCCTCAGCAACAGTGAGGTACTAAGCAACTCAGTGAGACCCTGTCTCTAAATAAAATAAAAAATAGGGCTGGGTCTGTGGCTCCATGGTTGAGAACCCCTAAATTCAATCTCTAGTATACCACTGCCCCCACTCCCACCTCCACCCCCCAAAAAAAACAATGAGCTGGGCACGGTGGTGCACACCTGTAATCCCAGCAGCTCGTGAGGCTGAGACAAAATACAAAATCGGGCTGGGGATGTGACTCAGTGATGGAGTGCCCCTGGGTTCAATCCTTGGTACCAAAAACAAACAAAGAAACAAACAAAACAATAATAAGGGAAGGGAAAAGGACAGCTTTCAGGATAGTCTTACTTTTGCAATGTCATCTTTAT